ACTATAAGAAGCCTGCTGATAGAAAAGGAGCGTAGATAGAAAAGGAAGATGAAAATCTCATACAATAATACTGGATTGTACATGTATATATACTACAGCTGTTATAACAACTCTAACAAACTTATTAACAGATCTAACAACACAACGTAACAGCTGGAGGTATATACTTATTACAATAGATGTACGTATTATAATATTCCTAACATTCCCCCCTCAAACTTAGGGTGAATGATCTGAAAATTCAGCCACACTAAGTTTGGTCCTCAAGTCAAGGAAAGATGATGCAGACAGAGGCTTTGTCAGAACATCAGCACTTTGATGAGGAGCTGGGATATGAAGAACTTCAATCTGCTTAGACTGGACTTTCTCTCTCACAAAGAAAAGATCAATTTCCATGTGTTTGATCCTGGAGTGTAAAACAGGATTGTGAGCAAGTTGCACAGTGCTGAGGTTGTCACAGTAAACCTTTGGAGTAGAAAATGGTATTTGAAGCTCTTTGAGTAAGAATTGAACCCACAGAAGTTCAGCAACTGTGTCTGTTAGACTCCTGTATTCAGCTTCTGCTGAAGATCTGGCCACTCTTTGTTGCTTCTTTGACCACCATGAGACTATGTTAGATCCAAAAAAGATGCATGATCCAGAAGTGGACCTTCTATCAACAGGATCAGATGCCCAATCAGCATCACAGAAAGCTGAAATAGGTAGAGGCATGGTGTTTAGAGGAAGAGGTTTAATGAGGATGCCATGTGTGATAGTCCCTGATAGATATCTGAGGATGTGTTTAACTGCCTTCCAGTGATCTTGTAGAGGTGCTGCCATGAACTGACAGACCTTGTTAACAGCATAGCTGATTTCTGGTCTTGTTAAAGTTGCATATTGCAGAGTGCCAACAATAGATCTGTAAGTGGAAGGGTCTGGTAGACATGTACTGCCAGTATTTGTAAGCTTGCAGCTGCTGATCATAGGAGTTTTAACTCCTTTTGAATCCAACATTCCAGCCTGATATAGTAGGTCTCTCACATACTTGGTCTGAGAGAGATGTAAACTGCCATCAGCTAATTTCCTTACTTCAATACCAAGGAAGAAGTCAATGTCTCCTAGATGCTTAAGAGAGAAAGATGAGTGCAGTTTCTGAATGAGATTTTGAATGGCATATGAATCATTTCCTATAACAAGGATGACATCTACATATATGAGAATGTAGATCTGAATTCCTGGAGACATGAAGAATAAGAGAGAAGGGTCACATTTACTTTGCTTAAACCCAGCTGTATAAAGAACAGAAGTGAGTTTATGGAACCAGGCTCTTGGAGCCTGTTTTAGACCATATAATGACTTGTGTAACTTGCAAACAAGAGATGTGTCCTGTGCCTGAAAACCTGGAGGCTGAACCATGTAGACTTCTTCATCAAGCTTTCCATTAAGGAAAGCATTATTTACATCTAATTGCTGAACAGACCATTTGTGAGAAACTGCCAGTGTAAGTAGAACTCTAATAGTGATAGGCTTAACAACAGGTGAGAAGGTTTCAGTAAAATCAAATCCAAACCTCTGATGGAAACCTTTAGCAACCAGCCTGGCCTTGAATTTATTAAGAGAACCATCAGAATTTTCTTTTACTCTAAAGACCCATTTACAGCCAATAGCATGCTTGTCTGGTGGCAGAGGAACTAATGACCAGGTACCATTTGCTATCAGGGCATTGTATTCATCTTGCATTGTAGAGAACCATTGAGGAGATGAGAGAGCTTGCTTTACTGACTTGGGCTCGATATGTGCTAACAGTAAGGTAGGATTAAGTCTTGGTTTGATAATTCCTGATTTGGCTCTAGTTTGCATGGGATGAGTGTTAGTCAACTGATTAGGTGTGGAAGATGAAGAGGTGGAAGTAGATGAAGGAATGCTGTGTTGTTGAGTAGGTATGGCAGATATGGAAGGAGCAGAGGATGGGTTAGAGTGATTTGAAGAATTATTGGTAGGGGTAGAGGGTGTATTGGAATGAACTGAAGTGTTATTTGTAGGTGTAGAGGATGATGTGAATGAAACATGACTTTGAGAGTTAACTGGTTGAGAATCAGAAGTAGATGAGTGTGGTTGTAAAATGGTTAGGATGGCAGAATTTGGTGTAGGAACTGTGATATTTGTGGGCAGATTTGATGGGAATAGGACTGGATAAGGGAATTTAGATTCATGAAATGTGACATCCCTTGAAATATATATTCTCCCAGATTTGGAAAGACACTTGTAGCCCTTATGTTGTGAAGAGTACCCTATAAAAATACACTCTTCAGAGTGAAAATCCATTTTATGTTTGTTATAGGGTCTCAGAAAAGGATAGCAAGAGCAGCCAAAGACTTTAAGGAAGGTATGGTCTGGTACAGAACCAAAGAGTTGGAAATATGGGCTTGAATTAGCTATTGACTTGGAAGGGGTTCTGTTTATGAGATGCACTGAAGTTGCAAAAGCAGCATCCCAAAATTTAAAGGGCAAGGAAGAGTGGGCAAGGAGAGACAGTCCTTTTTCAACAATTGTGCGGTGTTTTCTTTCTACTACACCATTTTGATGGTGTGTGTGAGGACATATTATTCTATGAGTGATCCCTTTTTGAGACAGAAAATGAGTGAAGGATCTAAATTCCCCTCCCCAGTCAGATTGGACGGATTTGATGGAAGTAGAAAATTGATTAAGAACAAGATTATAAAAGTTTTGGAATGCTGTGAGAGCATCAGATTTCTTTTTCAGAAAGTATATCTAGGTATATCTTGTGCAGGCATCAATAAAGGCAATATAATAGGTGTAACCATCAAAGGATAGAACAGGTGCTGGACCCCATAGGTCTGTAAATATCAGTTCAAATGGTTTTTGATAAACAGTGTTAGAAGAATATGAAGGAAGTCTATGTGCTTTGCCAAGATAACAAGCAGAACAAAACTGAAGATTATTTTGATTACTAGAAGAAACATTACAGTGTTTAAGTACAGATTTAAGTGCCTCAAGATGAGGATGACCTAATCTGAATAAAAACATTCCATATGTTCAGTTTTTAAATCACAACTTTAAATGCAATACATTTCTAGCAATTCATTGTGTCACGAATGTCACAATGTCTCTCAAAGAAATACCACAAAAGATCACTATTTTTTAAAGACACTATTTTACATCACAGAATCTCTTAGGCCTTGTTTGGATCAAAGGAGGGGAGGGGAGGGAAGGGGGGAGTCAAGGAGAGAAGGGAAGGGAGAAGGGGAAGAAAGGATTCTGATAAAAAATTGTGTTTGGTTGGAGGAAATAGGAGAAAAGTTTTATGAAATTATTTTCTTTATTAACCTTTATTTGATAGCTTATTTAAAAAGCTAGATACATCTAACTATTATGAATATTACTCCTAAGCTAGAAATTATTGTCTTTATTTACCTTTATTTTAATTTTTTAAATTTTTAAATATTTTATTTATTTTTATTTTGGTTTTTTTAACTTTTTATTTTTATTTTTTAATTTTTTAATTTTTTAATTTTTTAATTTTTTAATTTTTTAATTTTTTAATTTATAAATTATATGGATACACCATTTATTGAATGAAATCGGATTGAAGACACCAATACCTGCTAAGTTGTGGTGCGATAACCCAGTTGTTGTACACATAACAAACAACCCCGTATTTCATGAGAGAACAAAACATATTGAGATTGATTGTCATTTTATTCGAGAGAAGATACAAAAAGGATTGATCTCTACCGAATATGTGAAGACCAGAGAACAACTTAGAGATTCGAGTTGATTACTTATGTAACAAGTTGGGCATGATAAATATTTATGCTCCAACTTGAGGGGGAGTGTGAAATATAATAAAATATACTTTAGAATATGTTTTAGAATATTTTAGTAATATACTCCAAGATATTATTATTGTATAGAATCTTATAGAAATATTCTATCTTTGTAATGTATATTTATAGGAGCTTAATCCTTCAATGAAATACACAAAAAATCATTTCCTCTCCAATATTATTTCTTAGTTTACATGCTGTATTTTGACAATAAAGATAAAAATATTCTCATTTGTAATTATTTTGTTGACTTTCTAACCTCTTATAGTATGTTAAATGGCAACATCTTTGACCGTGATTGGTTTCGAACCTATTACCTCCTCTTTAGGAGTGTCACAGACTGACACTGATACCATCGAACCATCTTATTTATAATAAATTAGTGATAATACATAACAAGTACAACAATAATAATATGGTTCTAAAATCTTAAATATACAACTATAAAGAATATGTGTAAATGACAGTTATTATATCAACCAATTAAATTATATAAGTAACTTTCAATTATATTTAAATGATGTAGACATAATTGGAGAGTATGTAATAAGTAATATCAATAATCAATAATAAGTATTACTACGTAGTATTTTAATGATGATTGATAATATCAGTTATTAATTATAAAGCTTTAACAATTTGACTTAAATTTACTACTCCGTATAAACTAAAGTTAAACAAAGTATATATAGCTTAAAATGACAACAAAAAAAAGCAGAATAGTTAGTGTGGCGCAGCTGGAAACGTATCCAAATTGCTTGGTGATGGATGTAGGTTCGATCTTCGCATGCAACTTATGTTTTAAGCTATGGAGTGGGCGGGTTAGACGGGTTATTCTGGTTTGACCAGGTAATGTGCCGGGTTTCCGGACGGGCTGACAACAAATCAGTGGGCTTAAACGGGTTTGGACATATTTGCGGGTTATCCATAACCAGCCCGGTATTCCCAGCGGGTCGCCGGTTTCCGGGTCGACCCACCCGGGCCAGTTCGGGTCTGGTAACATAGGTTAGATGGATAACCATTAAAAGTTCCATGTGAAGCATCTCAGTGTGGAGTAGGGACTAGGGAGCATATTGAACTAAATAAATTATAAATTATGCTTATAATACACAATATCACAAGGCCAAATTCTGCTTCACGAAAAGGAAAACCCACTCCAGAGTTGATGAATACCTATAGTTGTAGTTTTTCACAACGAAGTACAATGGTGGTCCAATTCTGAGATAGTCAGATATGTTACTAAAGTAACCCTGCATGAAAATAAACTTGCACCACTAAGCAACAGTGTTTGGCAATATATATGACATTGAGCATTAATAAAGATAGCCAGAATCAGCATATCAAACCTGGAGATATGAGTCCTGAGGAAGAACAATTTGTTGTTCCAAACCTGGCTCAATCCTTGCACATAATGCCTTTGAAGAAAGAAACATTATGAACAATTAAAATTATCACAAGAAAACTAGCATGATGTAAGAGTAGAATTGTAGACTGAAAGAGAAACAACTTACAATGCTTGCCATTGCAATAGCAGCGAATACGGATATGACACCTACTTTTACTCCCCACATACTTAAAATGCGGGCATGCACGTCCTAAAGTGAAAAATAACTTAGTTAATCAATAAAAAAAAAGATTAAGAAGGAAAAGGTTCAACACTATTAGCTTTAAAACAAGTCCCCCATCCAAAGGAAAAACATTAATAATGATACCAATCATCATCACAATAATAGTCAAACGAAAAAACCAAGAAAACACTATGTTGTACTTTTGTAGTTTCAAAAGCTACTCCCAGGAAAAAACATTCAGAAAAAGTTTCACAATTATTTGAACAGCCTTTTTCCCTCCATTTTCCAAGAATTTATGGGAGTCGAGCAAAAGCTAAAAACTGCAGAAAAAATTATGTTGGTTTCTTTCCCTATGATCCTGTGGTAGCTATCTTGTTAATTACAAGGTTGCATCTAAGTTTTAGCAAAAAAAACTATGAGAGATATAATGAATCATACAACTTCTAGACTCAAATGGAAAGAAAGACATGTGATACTTATGAATATGTCCCACCTTCATATATCGAACCAGCAAACCAGGTTTTCTTTGTTGACTACCTATGGACCATACAATTTACAGTCAGACACAAAGTCTGGGATTGATAAAATTGAAGATATAAGAGGTGAATGTAGAAAAATTCCAAACTTCCCACAATACCTATATCATGATCAGAATTTGAATCAGAAACTTTAATACATGGAAAACAATCAATCCTGTTATCTTCTGCTCTCATAAAATCAAAGGCCATTAAGGAAACAAAAGCAGTCACTTGCAGGAGGAAGTCCAATAGAACAGCCAATGCTACAAAAATGAAAAGTATCACTGGAAGATTGACAAAAACAAATCAATGTATAACATCATTTATCAGATACGCCATAATACTTTGAGTAGAGCAGCTTCCTAACCGGAAAACATGGAAAACACACGGCAAGCTGGCATAGGAATGAAACTTCCTACTGCAAATGCCAAAACCTCTGCTAGACTAGCTAGTGTTATAGATGGACCTACTTCTACAAGAGCATAGCTCATTCGTGCTTCTAAAGGCAACTCCAATGACTGCCTTTTAACTGCATGCACCAATATGCACATATTATCCACCCCAACCTGCAATATATTATACCAAAGGTCAATGTTCTTGACATTTGACTTTTGAGAAAGTTGTACATTAAAATGCATTACCAAAACACATCAAAAGTTGAAGCAAAACTAAGTTGAGAAGATATTTTACTTGAAGGAGGAGATTCATGTTTTCAAATGCATCTAATGCATGACTTCAATTTTGATTCATTTTCAATTTAAATGTGGTATATTTTAATCAAAACAGATATTTAAAGATAAAAAACACAAATAGATCATACCGCCAACACAAGAAATGGGATAACTTCCAATATGATGAGGGTAGATTTTACTCCTATGGCACTGAAAAAACCAACTGATCCAAGAACAGAGAGCATGACAAGAACAATGCCAGAAAGGCCAAGCAACACCTGAAACAGAACCTTGCAGTTTATGGCATGAAATTTACAGTGTTACTTAATTGTCTAAATAACATTTATGCTAAGAGTTCATGCAAAACCGCACAGTGACACAGTTATACTTCAAATGTCTTTCCTGTTGCAACCTTCTAAAGAATGACTAATGAAGTGAAAATATAAAAAAGGGAAAACTGTCAAATAAGTCCTCGAACTTTCATAAAAAAGTCAATTAAGTCCTTCTATAGTAGACTCTGTCCGGTCGTCGCGATTTGGGGCGGTTCCCGATGGAATTTTTTGATGAAATTTTTTTAGCATCTTATTCATCAAGTCTAGTTTACTCATACCAAATTTCATCTAAAAATTTAATCGGGAGCGTATTCAAATTAATTCGAGAACGTAAAAATGTGCAGTTATCTTCAAGGATTAATTTGAATGTGTTCCCGATTGAATTTTTAGCTGAAATTTGGTATGAGTAAACTAGACTTGGTGAATAAGATGCTCAAAAAAATTCATCAAAAAATTCCACCGGAAACTGCCCCAAACCGCGACGGCCGGACAGAACCTCCTATAGAAGGACTTAATTGACCTTTTTATGAAAGTTTGAGGACCTATTTGACAGTTTTCCCTATAAAAAACAGCCATCACCATAAGTTAGTCATGTGATGGAGAATTGAAACTAGATGAGATAGTTGGTATAGTCATATCTCATGTGTATTGCAAAGAGGTACTCATGAATGGTTACTGAATTTCAACCATTACTCAAGATCAAATGGTAATGATCAAAAGTTGTCACGGCATCTGTCTTGGCACCAAGGCACTTTCCGTGCCGATGGCACATTTATGGCATTGCAACTTGACAAAAAAAAGTAACTACTAAAAGTATAAACTCTAAACAACATAAATCTATAAGCCAAAAAATAAGCAAAAGGGTTGAATGATCACACTCTAACCGAAATATGTCAAATTCAAATAGTCTAAAGTAGTTCCCAAGTAACTCAACATCCAAAACAGTTTCAAGTATTCCAATATATATCAACTTGTTATTCGTGTTCGATGAGTACGATCTGATCATCATCAATTATCACACTCCTTTAGTGAAAGTGTAGCTCCCCTTTAGTTGTTACCCTTTAGTTATTCCCCTTCAATTATCTGCAGCTTTCTCTGACAGAGACATTAGTTCTGCAGCTTCTCTACCTTCAATTCTACATTAGCTGGTTTCTATTTATGTCAGTTATAACGGTTCTTTATTTATATTATGGGCAGGCTAATTGGTTAATTAGTGTAGAAAATGTTACATTATTGTAGAAAATGTTACATGATTTAATTTGGTGTACATACTTAGCCGAATAGATTAGAACACGTGCTGTTATTTAGAGAGAAGCTCGTAGTAATCAAGATCCTATTTTTTAGGATCTAAATTAGTTGATTAGTTGCTTGTACATCTGTATAAATATTCTGGCCGATTGGCATATTCAATCAAGGAAGTTTTATTCCTTAAACCTACATGGTATCATAGACTTGAATTTACACATTCAAATGGTGGAATTCGAACACTCTGACTCATCTCTCCATTCACATACCAATAACCCCCATATTAGCTCCATGGCAAATTATCAGACCTCGGTTAATTCATCTATGCTCATCACTGGACATAGATTGAATGGTAGAAATTACCTAGAGTGGTCACAGTCTGTCAAATTAGCAATTGATGGCAAGGGCAAACTGGGATACCTAACTGGAGAGATCCAACAAAAGAAAATTGGTGAAGATGGCTACAGTGTCTGGAGGTCAGAAAACTCTCTAGTGACAGCCTGGCTTCTCAGTTCAATGGATGCATCAATCACCAAACCTCATATGTTTATGAAAACTGCAAAAGAGGTATGGGACTCTATTAAGGAAACTTATTCAGATCTTGAGAATTCTTCTCAGATCTTTGAACTCAAAACCAAACTGTGGCAATCTAAACAAGGAAATAGGGATGTCATTTCACACTATAATGAAATGGTATCTCTATGGCAAGAATTAGATCAATGCTATGGTGATGAAGAATGGGAAAGTGCCAAGGATCTGGCAAGGCATAGGAAAAAAGAAAAAAATGATAGGGTCTATATGTTTCTAGCAGGCATAAATAGAGACGTAGATGAAGTTAAGGGAAGGATACTTGGAAAAAAACCTCTGACCTCAATCAGGGAAGTGTTTTCTAAGATCCGACAGGAAGAGAGTAGGAAGAAGGTTATGTACAACACTCCAGACCCTCATGAGGAACCCGGAGAGTCTTCAGCTACGGTGGCTAGAAGTAATGACCAGAAAAAACCTTGGTGTGACCACTGCAAGAAATTATGGCACACTAGAGATACCTACTGGAAACTTCATGGGAAACCACCAGGAGCTGGAAAGAAGAAAGCTCTACAAACAACCGTGAATGAGACTCAACAGGAGCCACAAGTCAACTTCAAACAGCCTTCCTTCACAAAGGAACAGATAAGGCAACTCCTTAACCTTCTGAATACTCAGAAAAATTCCAAACCTCCATCTGAATCTTCCTCTTGTTCTTATGCCCAGAATGGTACCTCTTCATTTTTTTGTTCTGGGAAACCTAAAAGTACCTGGGTCATTAACTCAGGGGCTACTAATCATATGACCTCTATTTCAAACCTTTTTTTCATATAAACCCTGTGCAGGGGACAAAAAGGTCAAAGTAGCTGATGGCTCTTTATCAGCCATTGCAGGAACGGGAAATATCAATATTTCCTCATCTGTGAATCTGTCCAAAGTCCTTCATGTCCCTAATCTTTCCTGCAATCTTGCTTCTGTTAGTCAGCTAACCAAAGATCTACAATGTTGTGTCATTTTTTATCCCTCTTATTGCATTTTTCAGGACCTAGCATCGGGGAAGATGATTGGCAGTGCTAGGGAGGAAGATGGACTCTATATCTTTGATGAAGGGACTCAATCAAGTAAAAGAGGTCCAAGAAATGCTTGTCTGCAAACTGTTTCTTTTTCAAATAATAAAGAGTTCTATTTGCTTCACTATAGACTAGGACACCCTAATTTCCATTATTTAAAAAGGATTTTTCCTCAGTTATTTCTAAATAAAGATACTTCTTTACTTCAGTGTGATATGTGTGCTCTTGCAAAACATCATAAAAACTCATATCTTCCCCACAGTTATAAACCTACTAGTCCTTTTACTTTGGTACACAGTGACATTTAGGGAGCATCTAGAGTACCAACTTTAAAGGGAAAGAGATGGTTTGTAACTATTATTGATGATCATACACGAGTCACATGGGTTTTCTTGATTAAAGAAAAATCTGAAGTTGAAAAAGTATTTAGGGATTTTTATGCTATGGTCCAAACTCAATTCAATACCAAAATTAAGATGGTAAGAAGTGATAATGGCCGTGAATATTTTTCTCAAACCCTAAACAATTTTTTTGCTGAAAAAGGCATAATCCATCAAAGCTCTTGTATCAATACACCAGCTCAGAATGGAATTGCAGAAAGGAAAAACAGACATTTACTTGAAGTCACTCGTGCAATCATGTTTTCAACAAACATACCAAAATATCTTTGGGGAGAGGCTGTGTTACATGCTACTTACTTAATCAACCGCATGCCATCAAAAATTTTAGGATTTAAAAGTCCTATCAATTCACTACAGAATTGCTTTCCTACAAATAGAATGATCAGCACTCTTCCTTTGAAAATTTTTGGTTGCACAATGTTCATAAAAAATCCTGATAAAACTGCAAGTAAATTTGATCCTAGAGGAACAAAATGTGTCTTTCTAGGTGTTTCTTCCACTCAAAAGGGGTATAAATGCTTTGATCCTATAACCAGGAAAATGTGTATTACTATGGATACATTTTTTGTGGAAGAACAGCCTTTTTTTTATACTCATCTTCAGGGGGAGAATTTAAGAGAAGATGTTCAAACATTACCACATATCCTTGAAAACCTTAATTTTCTTGATATTAATCTAGATGATATTCCATCTGAAAATGATCAAGGAATAACAAATAATGAAATAAATACTAATGAAATCAATACAATTGAACCAATTGAAAAAGAGCAACAGACAAGTCAGTTCTTTGGCAAAGTTTATGAGAGAGGAGTTCAAAATCAAAGAATAGAGGAAGTCCAAGAACCTGCCACTGTTCATGATTCTGACTCAATGACAGGGAGTGAAAAAGGTAATACTTCTATTCATCTTGACCTTCCAATTTCCCTTAGAAAAGAAAAAAGAACATGTGTTAAATACCCCATCTCAAACCATGTTTCTTATTCTAAATTATCCTCATCCTTTGCAACTTTTACTTCTTGTGTTTCTTCTATTCCTATTCCTTCAACCATACAGGATGCTTTATCTAAACCTGAGTGGAAGAAAGCTATTTTGGAGGAGATGGAGGCTCTTGAAAAGAATCAGACATGGAAGCTTGTAAAGCTACCTAAAAACAAACTAACTGTTGGTTGCAGGTGGATCTTCACTCCTAAGTTTAAAGCAGATGGAAGTCTAGAGAGATATAAGGCAAGGTTAGTTCCTAAGGGATACACGCAGACCTATGGCATTGACTACACAGAAACCTTTGCACCAGTTGCAAAGTTGAACATTGTAAGAATTCTCTTATCCCTTGCTGCTAATTTGGACTAGCCACTGCAACAATTGGATGTAAAGAATGCCTTTTTAAATGGGAAACTTGAAGAAGAAGTGTATATGAACCCTCCTCTTGGGTTTGAGAATAAATATGGTGCAAAGGTATGCAAACTGGAGAAAGCTCTATATGGACTTAAACAGTCTCCAAGAGCCTGGTTTGACAGATTCACAAAATTTGTAAAGAAACAAGGGTTTAATCAGGCTCAAGCTGATCATACATTGTTCATGAAGTTTTCAGGCAAGGGGGAGATTGCAATACTAATTGTCTATGTAGATGATATTATCCTCACAGGAAATTATCATAGAGAGACTAAGAATTTAAAAGAAAAGCTTGCCCATGAGTTTGAAGTTAAAGACCTAGGAGACTTAAAATACTTTCTGGGGATGGAGATAGCTAGATCAAAAAAGGGTATTGTTGTCTCACAAAGAAAGTATATCTTAGACCTTCTGCAGGAAACTGGAATGAGTGCATGCAAACCCGCAGACACTCCAATTGACCCAGGTCAGAAGTTGGGAGATATCAAGGAAGGAACTCCAGTTGATATTCACCAATATCAAAGATTGGTGGGAAGACTAATATATCTGGCACATACTAGGCCAGATATTGCATTTGCAGTAAGTATGGTGAGCCAGTTTATGCATAATCCTTTCCAGGAACATCTTGATGCTATTTACAGAATCTTAAGGTACCTGAAGAGCTGCCCAGGGAAAGGATTATTTTTCAAAAAGGGAGTCAGTAGGACAATTGAGGCCTATACTGATGCAGATTATGTTGGCTCAATACATGATAGAAGGTCTACTTCTGGATATTGTACCTATGTATGGGGAAATTTAGTAACTTGGAGAAGCAAGAAGCAAAATGTGGTTGCTAGAAGTAGTGCTGAATCAGAATTCAGATCTATGGCTAATGGAATATGTGAATTACTCTGGATCAAGAGAGTAATTACAGAACTGAAGATGGAGATGGAACTACCTATGAAGCTGTATTGTGATAACAAAGCGGCTATAAGCATTGCTCATAATCCTGTGCTACATGATCGAACTAAGCATATTGAAGTGGACAGACACTTTATTAAAGAGAAGATAGAAGCAGGAATTATTTGCACACCATTTGTATCCACCAAAGACCAAACAACTGATATCCTCACCAAAGGGTTGTTTAAACCTGTGTTCGAACTGCTTACAACCAAGTTGGGAATGCATGATATATATTCACCAACTTGAGGGGGAGTGTAGAAAATGTTACATTATTGTAGAAAATGTTACATGATTTAATTTGGTGTACATACTTAGCCGAATAGATTAAAACATGTGCTGTTATTTAGAGATAAGCTCGTAGTAATCAAGATCCTATTTTTTAGGATCTAAATTAGCTGATTAGTTGCTTGTATATCTGTATAAATATTCCGGCCGATTGGCATATTCAATCAAGGAAGTTTTATTCCTAAAACCTACAACTAGTAATCACGGCCAAAGCCCAACAATAATTAAAATGAACATGTTAAATCTGCTCAAAAAATATGGCGCATATGGTGTGGCGATGGTGATGGCGCCACCACATGCATAACGGTTGCCACCAAGAATTTGTGGCGAAGTCTTTCAGATGGCCAATGGCATTTTATGGCACGCGCCGTTTGTGCCATTGAAAACTATGGGAACAATCATTTAGGACCGCATTTAATTCTTTCACTAACTTTGGGAACATTTATTTTCCAATTATAAAAATAGTACTCATTGCAAAGTCCTCCTCGGTAAATGCAAATGGTTTGCATAAGATAAATACAGAGGTCATTGATGTACCTTAGATGATATATAACATGAAGAGAAGCGTGGACTATCCCCCAATGTCAAAGATATGTAGGCAAACATTACAAGATAACTTATCTGAAATAAGATAATCATAAATTGATATAGACATGTATATATAAATATGTAAGCATATATGTGCAAGTACAAAGTACATCAGACTATCAGAGACAATATATATCCCCCCCCCCCCCCAATGAGCGCACACTCACAGCATAAAGAAAAAAATACGATGGCATTTAGAGTCTAAAAAGAACAATGATGTGAACCCCTTTATTCATGTCAAGTGAAAATTCAACTCACAATCAATAAACTGCAAAAATCAACATGAACCTATGGAGTGGCAAAGAAGGTCATACCACTATAGTTATAACATCAGCATTGGTTTCTCGTCTAAGTTCTTCCTCAATAGAGCTCTCTGATGAAAATGCCAGTGTCAAACCCTTCGATTGAACCATTGGCAAGATTTCATCCTGTTTACACATTAGAATTTATTCTGCTTTTTTTATAGAAGGTAAACTCATTCGCATCCCAATAAAGTATTAATCTGGATCATTACATTTTACCCGGTAAAGATGTTTTTTTAAATATGCATTTATATTTTACTACTTTCATTATTGTAACTTGGCATGTTCTCCCAATCCACTGGAACACACAAAGTTGTCCTCAAAGGTATTCTTAAAACTAATAAATAGCACAAAAACAACTTTAAGGAAATCCTAACAATGTGTTATGTGTCAATATCTTTTGATGAGCATGTCACCAAATAAGGCAGCTGATGAATGATAGATAATGCAATAAAAAAGAAGCAGACCTTCACTAACTGGATGAATGCCTTCTCCCAGGCTACGTTTCTTTTTGTATCGTTGCTTTCTTTATCAATTGCATTATTCACAGGATACGTTACAATAAAAGCAGAAGCCTGCATCACGGACAAAGTTCAGAACTGATATACAACTCACTCATTCATTCATGAGAAATGTAAAAAAGATTACCTCTGAGTAATTGTTACCAGAAAAGCCACCAAGAGCAGTACTTGGATCAAGGGGGGCTTTAAATGCACTCATACAATCCTCCGCAGAAGTATAGTGCTAAAGAAAACAACAAGGATTAAATCTCAGAGTTATATTTAATTGTGTAAGAGATAAGCTTTTGTTTAGTATCTTTATTTAATTTTTTAAAAATAAGCATATTACCTGAAAACAATACTGAAGGTGGTCAATACCCCCATACTCATCAAAATATGTAGCATTCATCTTGAAATACTACAAAGTACAAACCAAATAAGCTGAATCGTGTAACAAATAACAAGTCACATCGGAAAGACGGAGAAGACACATAGTAAGAAATTTCTATCTATATGAATGGGTTAAAAAGCTCTAACTATTAAGTTAAAAGATATGAGATCATGTGTCAAATTTGAGAAAAATGAAGTGGCAAACATACTGCTAAAAATGAAGCTTAAAATGGAATTAAAATATGCCAAACCAAATGACTACGACTATAAGAGACCAAATTCTGAACACAAGTATAACCAACAATATTTTATATTTGAATCCACCTGAGCAGTTAACAATAGAGAACTCTAAAAGTAAAGGAAGAGGATTCAGAGATTTCATAAAGTTCAGTATTTCATTTTATATTTACCATCATCTTCTTTTTGGCCAATCACTAAAAACGTGGAGGGGTTGTGTATACACTTCCATCATTACTAATTTAGAACTAAGCATCAAAGGTGACACTTTGAAACTTTCATAGATTTAGATGCATTCATGTATCCCTGACACCACAACACTTCACTCTTTTAAATCTGTAAGGACCAGAGAAAACTATAGTGCATGGACAATGCAGTAATTACCTGAAGAACACTTTGAGTAGCACAATCCTTGCCAAGGGGCTTCACACAAATGTCAGCTAGAGACACAATTGACTCAGAGTGTTTTGCTTTGACTGAGTCTACCTATTAAAATAGAGCAAAATTATATATGATGCACATAATTAAGAAAAGATGCATCATCATTGGAACTTGTAAAGTGTAGATTTTTTTACTTATTATTGCATATCTTTGATTCACCGCTAATATATTTACTAGGCGATATCTTAGAGATCTTAGAATCTTCAAATATCCCTTATTCTTAGGAGACTTTAATTAGTAGGATTCCTTCCTTATATTCCTACTTAGGTTGAATCTCTAGTTGTATATATATTGTAATCTTCTTCTCATATGGAATGATATAACAAAATTAGAACAGAGAACTCTTTCTCTATTTCTTCCAACTTACATGGTATAAGAGCGGTTGATTCTCTAATATGGTTAAGTTTGGATCCTATGGGATAACCACCGAGAGAGATGGATCTATCTCAGTCACCTATGAACATTCAGAGTCTATCCCAGCCACAGACGGCAAAAACAAGAATGTCAATGGGAGCACAATTACCATTCCTAACCATTCAGATTAAGTTATTACTTGCCATAAACTCAATGGCAGTAATTATCTACAATGGTCCCAGTTAGTGATGATGTATGTGTGTGCGAGAGTCAAGAAGGACTACTTAACGGGTGATGCACCTGCTCCGGATCAAAGATATTCAGTCTACAAGTGGAAGAAAGAGAACTATACTGTTAGAAACCTGCAGAATTGATTCTAACAGAACAATGGAGTGACTCAAGAACGTAAAGGCAACTTTATTTCTTAGGCAACAAGATAGAGGTACAACTCATATCTCCCACTACAGACTCCAGTCAAAAACAGCTTAACTACTACTCCCAGCCGTATACTATTTATAGTAAGGAAGTCTAACAACAGGTCGTTATTATTTACAACAGACTTAACTAATAACCGACCCTACAACAGTCTATGTTCCCAGTCTGCTGCTGTTCTTGCCCTAGCTGCTCTTGTTGTTTTACCTCACAATAAAGCAAATAACCATCCCCTATTTGCTGAATGATCTGTGTCATGGTTTTTAAAGGCACTTCCATTTTATTAAGGTTTATGTCTCCCTTAATACTGCATTCATGTCCTTTATTCTTCCACCTTAGGATCTGTTTATGGAAATTTACTTCCATATTTCCCAATTTAGTGAGCCAGTCTAATCCCAGAACTACATCAGTCTCTCCTAGATCCAATATGTAGAAGATTTCATGGATTTCATTCCCTTGCACCATCAATGTGATCCCTACACATCTGCCTTTATTGTATATGATTTCACCATTACCTATTTGCACCTTATACCCCTCTATAGGTTTGAAAGGTATGTCCTATTGGTTCACCAATCTCTGGATATAAAGTTGTGGTTGGCCCCACTGTCAATCAGTATTTTGACCTCCTTCTCTTCCACAGCCCATTTCAATTTTCCCAGAACCTTGAAGGTTCTCATAGAGGGAATGCCATCCTTGCTGAGTACAGATAGTTGCATAGATTTCAGTTCAGGTTGGATATTATCTTCTCCTTCAGTACCACTGTAATTAGCTTCATTTTCTGGTTCTTCCTCAGATTGTTCCATCAAAACCATCTGAAAGTTTTTCATCCTGCAAACGTGTCCCCGGTTCCAGTTTTCTCCACATTTGAAGCATAACCCTTTTTTGCTCCTATCCATCAGTTCATTTTGTGATAATCTGGCGCCAAATTTTCTGGAACTAGAACCTTCACCACTGTCTCTTGTTTTGTTGTCATCTGCATTCCTCCCATAGGTATGAGTAATTACAGGATTACTACTACACTTGATTCCATCCCCAGTTTTCTGAAAATTACTTCCCTTGATACCAAGGCTCTTCCAAGATCTTTTTACTTCTTCCTTCTGCTTCCTGGACAGTATTTCTTCATTCTTATCCTCAATCAACTGTGCTTTATCCATGATTTTCTCCAGGTTCTTGGTCTTATACAGCTTCAGTTCCGCCTTTATCTCCTTCTTTAACCCATTCAAGAATATTCCTCTCATCACTTTTTTGTCCAAATCTTCTTGAGAAGCAATAGCAGTTTCGAACTGTTCTCTGTACTCCTGTACCGAATTCTTTCGTTTCAGACTCAACAGAGGCCCTAAAGGATTTTGAATTAACTCCGGTTGAAATCTTTGAATCAGTGCTTTTCTCAATTTTTCCCAATTCTTTCCCTTAGCTTGTTTCTCCCACCATTGGATCCATCCGAGGGCCTTACCTTCCATGGCGACAACTGCAACCTCACATTTATCTTCCTCTTCAACACTATTGAGTCGGAAATACCTGTCGATTCTGACAAGCCATCCAAACGCGTCTTCTCCATTGAATTACGGTAGGTCAACCTTCCTGTGAATCTGATGGTGATGTCGATGTCGATGCGGAGGAGATAGCTCAATTTGACCTTCCGATTCCTCAGAACTGTCACTCGATGGCGTCGATTGATGACGCGATGAATGACGCGATGCGTGTGAAGTATGCGATGTGTGCGACCTGCTACGCGATCGTCTCTCTCCTCGCGCTTCCAATCTGGCGATAGCCGCCTGAAGCGCGGTAAACATCGTTTCCATCTTCTCATCCAATTCATTCATCCTCGATTCCATCTTTGTTCTCGTCAATACCATCCACAAAGATCGGCGTCTCTGATACCAATGTTAGAAACCTGCAGAATTGATTCTAACAGAACAATGGAGTGACTCAAGAACGTAAAGGCAACTTTATTTCTTAGGCAACAAGATAGAGGTACAACTCATATCTCCCACTACAGACTCCAGTCAAAAACAGCCTAACTACTACTCCTAGCCGTATACTATTTATAGTAAGGAAGTCTAACAACAGGTCGTTATTATTTACAACAGACTTAACTAATAACCGACCCTACTTCCTTCTAGAATATACTTTACTAAAGTATTTAGCTCCTCTCTGCAGATTAGTAAAGTCTCTATCATACTGTAATGTCATGGCTCATCAATTCCATGACAACCAATATAGGGGAAAATTTCCTGCTACACAAAACAGCTCAAGAGATTTGGGAGGTTGTGAGAGAAACCTACTCAACTTCATATAATACTTTTGAATTATTTGAGGTTGAATCAAGGCAGCATATCCTCCGGTAGGGAGAATTGAGTGTAACTCAATACTTCAACAATCTTCAAAGACTCTAGAAGCATCTTAATGTATTTGAGACATACATGTGGTCATGTTCTAAGGATATGAAACTATATCAGGAGATCAGTGAGAGGAAGAGAGTACTCAAGTTTCTGCTAGGCTTGGACAAAAGTATAGATGAGGTTAGGGGTAGAATAACGGGGGAAAGCCTTTTCTCATACTCAAGCTTGGACATACAACTGGTCATGTTCTAAGGATATGAAACTATATCAGGAGATCTGTGAGAGGAAGAGAGTACTCAAGTTTCTGCTAGGCTTGGGCAAAAGTCTAGATGAGTTTAGGGGTAGAATAATGGGAAAGGAGTCTTTTCTCACACAGAGAAGCCCTTTCAGAAGTAAGAAGAGAAGAGAGTAAGAAGAAGGTAATGATGGCCTAAAAGATCACGACCAATAACAAGGTATGGAAGGTTTCAGCTTTGTTAACCTCTTCCAGAGATGATGAATATAAGAAAAAGGGGAGGTCATTGTGTGATCACGGTAAGAAACCAGGTTACACCAAAGAGACATGCTTGAATTTGAATGGTAAACCTAAAGATTTCAAATCTAGCGAAGGGAAAGGAGCATATGTAGCTATTGGAGATAAGGAAGAAAATGGCGCCTCTAACTCACCTGTGTTTACCAACGAGCAGATTGAAGTCCTTCAACACTTGATAAGTCAGAGTAAAGGGTTAACACCACCAACTAGCTTGACTGCTCAAACAGGTAACACCCTAACAACCTTAGTTGCACAAAATCAGCCCTATTGGATTGTTGATGCAGGGGCATCAAATCATATGACTGGAGATAGTAAGTTATGTGCTGAATTTGTTCTTATGAAAGGTGATGTGACTTTGAAGATTCCTGATGGAACTACTTCGGTGATTAAAGGGACTGGCAAAGTGAAAATTTCTGATAAGCTTGGTTTTAAAAGGCATGAGGCGGCTTGAGGCGATTTCATCGAGTTACCCGAGGCGCGAGGCGCTAGGCGATGAGGCGCTCGCCTCACAGATCTCAACCACATTTCTTTGGTGAAATATTTTTATAGTACTTCTACACGAAGCACTCTTCTCAAAAATACTTCAAACTATTAAACAATCTTAATAAACATCATAAGAGAAACAAATATTTATTAAAGACGATAAGACAGAAGCAAGAATTCCAAATATATACGTACTGTTTATGTAAAATCAATGTACTGTTAAATTACTTTTGTTATATAGGCTATTTTAACAATTATTTTTTCATCCTTTTAATGTACGTTAAATTATAAAGTATTATCATTGTTATGTAATAAACTATAAAAATAATACATGTTTAATTAATAAATTATCACACAAATGGCATTTTGTACACTGTAGCAGACTGATTTGGAAATTTAAATAATTTTATTAATTTTATAAACTTAAAAAATTAAGATATTTAAACTTTTTTCAATTATCTATCAAAACTTATAAATAGCAAAAGATAATACAGAGTAATATGTATCAATTATCTAACTTTTTATTTAAATACCTTTCAAAAAAATACTTTTTATTTACATATTTAAATAATTTTATATATATAACAACTTAAAATAAAAGAAAATAAATAGCAGAAGAAAAAAGAAAAGTAAATAGTTAAATACTTACCTCTACGACTCAAGATAGCAGAGAAAGGAACCGGTTGGAAGACTCTGAACTTCTACGCAAAATACAGGGGAAGAAAAGGACTGACCTAACGCAAAAGGCAGAAGGCAGGAATGAAGGAGAAGACTATAGAGGAGTTTCATGGAGTGAGGAGTGAGGACCTGCGAAAATTCTAGGAGAGAGCATCTGAATCGGCAAAAAAAACTTGGAATGGGAATCGTAAAATAAACTCCATCGGGCACTAACCATGAGGCGCTAAAAGCGCGCGCCTCTCAGACGCGCAAAAGGCGTCGATTAAGCGCCGCCTCCGGGAATCTGCGCCGCCTGGGGAATTCAGATGCGATGAACCTATCGCCTTAAGTCGCCTAGCGCCTTTTAGCGCCTCAGGCGCGCTTTTTTAAACCAAGCTGATAAGATCGTTCTTAACAATAAGTTATATGTCCCACATTTCAAATTTAATCTATTACTCCCTCCGTCTCTTAAACGTTTGCCAACTTTCCTTTTTCGGATGTCCCACACTAACTTTGTCACTTTACCTTTTAAGTAAATAACTTGTGGTTCCAGTTAATTCTCTCTCCTTTGCACAAACCTCAACCACACAGTTTTTACTTTATTAATCCTCATGCCGGTCAAACTTGTCAATGTTTTAAGGGACGGAGGGAGTATCAGTTAGTAAATTGAACAATGATACACATTGCCTAACTAAATTCTTCTTTCAATTATGTGAATTTCAGAGTTGTATTCGAGAAGGATGATTGGCAGTGGAAAGCAAAGTGGTGGGCTATATCTTCTCTCACACTAACCACATCCTACCAACAAGACAATTTCCCACCAACAATACAATCTTCACCATAAGTCCTTAGTGAGTCTTAGTAAGAGTCAATTTGATAATCAAATTAAGTTATGGCATTATCGTCTTGGTCATCCTAGTTAGGGTTGTTAACGAGCCCGAACATCCAAAGCTCGAGTTTGGCTCGATAAGGAATTAGTGGTGTTCGGGTTCGAGCTCGAGCTCGCGAGCTTACAAATGAGGCTCGTGTTCGGCTTGATGGGCATTCGATGTTTGAACCGAGCGCTCGATAAGCTCGATAAATATGCCCGAGTTTAAAATTTTAGGTGATGCTCGTTAATAGGCCCGTGCTCGAATGATTCGTCAAGTATTCGGTTCGTTAATAATCATATTTAAATTTATAAAATCATACTAATTATATTTAAATTTTGACATATATATAAATTATATTTATAATTTCAGAGTGTTCGATGGGCTCGAGTTCGAACCCGAACACCACTAAAGCGTTTACATCGCTTGCAGTAAACCTAGACTAGCCGTTACATCAACTAGATGTTAAGAATGCTTTTCTTAATGAAGACCTGGAAGAGGAAGTATTCATGGATGTACCACCAAGATTGGAAGACTTGGTAAAATCTGGCCAAGTTTGTGAACTCAAGAAGTCTTTGTACGGGCTAAAGCAGTCGCCTAGAGTGTGGTTTGATAGATTTACAAGATCGGTGCTTAAGCAAGGGTTTAGGAAATGTCAAGCAGACCATACATTGTTTACAAAGTGGATAGACTCTAGTAAAATGGCTATACTTATAGTATATGTTGATAATATTATTATGACTAGGGATTATAACGTTGAAATGGACAAGCTGAAGGCTCACCTAGCAAGAGAGTTGGAGATCTAGGAGCTAACCTGGTGGTGTTTGTGTCATAATATAACCCCTTCTTAATGTATGGGTGTATGGCAGTAAATAGACACGTTTAAAAAGAAACAAAACAACATATAAAATAGGATAATTGGTTCTAAATGGGACTAAAAAACTGGAGATATGCATCCGTAGGTCTTCATTTACTTTTAAGCCTAAGTGGGACCAAATTTAAGTGTTATACCAATTATACCCTTAAGGAAGTGTTCGCACTAGTCAAAACCCCAAACCCTATTTCGTGTTGCGCAGTGTATTCCCTTTTTTAATTTGGCCGATGAAGTTTCACAGCTGCAACGATCTACGACAAGCAAGCCAACGAAGTTTACGAAAGCAGTGAACAGAGAACTCCATTGATGATGACGGTGAGATGACTAAATGTTTGTTAGAAAAGGTCATCTTGTTTCCTCTTCTAAGCACCTCTCTTCTGTTTCATCTTTCAAGCTCTGTTTCTTATTTAGCCGATTACAAATTCCAAGTTGAATCTGAAAATGCCAGAAAAATGGCATTCATACACTTCACAAATTTCATATTTCCCTCTGAAAATGCCATTTATATGGCATTCTAAATTCATGGTGGCATTCTAATGAAAATATTGGCATAAGCGACGAGATTAGTCAGATCTGCAACGGTGGGGTCTGAATCTGCAACGGAGGAGGTCGGTTCTACGGTGACGGCGGTAAATCTTCAGGGGCGGCGGAAGACAGCCATCTGCAGAGAAAACCAGTAGATCTGTAGCAGTAGCGGCCATATCTTTAGCGGCGACCAGTTCTGCGATGGTTGTGGTGGCCGACGGCCGGCGGTGATCTGAGGTTTGTCGGCGGCAGACCGACAGTTAGCTTTGGCAAGTTTCAAGGGTTTATCTGTCCAACTACATATAATAACTCCTATTTGGGGAAATTTTAAACATTACTCCTACTTTAGCAATTAAAGATGGATTTAGTCCTATTTAGATAAATACCTTGTTTTGTATATCAAAAAGTAACAAGATGTTTTCTTGTGTGATGATAGTTGGACGTTTTCCACTCTCTGCATCAGGATTGGTTGCTATTATGAGCTGCAATATTGGTATGGTGTTAATATGTCTATTCAATCATCAAATGTAGTATTAAATGCCTGATAAGAAAATGATAGATGCACTCTCATTGCCAAGAAATAGGGGAAACTGTAGGCTTGGAAACTTTGAAATGAACATACTGTTACAAAATGGCTTACCAGTTACCACAAGTCCACAACTAAAATAAAATATATGTACAGTGACAAAAATATAATCAGCAGGTTAAGACAATATTAAAAAGTAAGAAGAAAATTATTCAAATATATAACCTGTTCGATTCTGTAAAATGGAGCTAGGTGACTGTCAAAAAACGTCTTCTCTTTTGCAGCTCTACTTCCATGGCCAACCCATAGCTACAGCAGTTTCAGAGTTAAATACTTCAAGCCACTAAGTGCTAATAATACTTAAGTTTTAACTCCGTGCTGACAGCTTCACAAACACTTCAACCCATCATAACATAGATGAATGTGCAAGTGAAAAGATTACAGTGCGCTCAAATAATAGGTACAACAGAAATTACCACAGGTGACAAGAATAAAGAAATGAACAAACTCAGCAAAACTAGAGTAATGCATTTACGTTCCTAAATATGATATTGGAGCTGGCAGTGTCTGCCAAACTGGCAATAACTCCCTGTAGTAACCGAGTAACCTTCAATTCATAAGTTATTCAATGCCTTCGACATTGGAACTGGAGCTCCAAAGTTTTTTGTGGGTATTTTGTAGGAATAGATCATCAAGTATTCAATGATACACGTTCCACCAAAATCAGTCCAAAGACAGGAAATAAGGATTCAGGAAGCTCAATTTTACTTTCTATCACTACCCATAAATTATGTTCTATGCCCATCAAGGTTTGAAATTGCGCAATAGAGTCCCGCAATGAGGCGCGCCTCACTGATATCTGGTATTCTAGTTGATTATAGTTGATAATAAAATGCTATACAAGTAACTCTATTTATTGCTACATTAGAGCATTAGGGTTTCTATACTTAAATGGGACAAGCCCAATACAACTCTGATTTTCACACACCCCTCAAGTTGGGGCATATAAATCATATGTACCAAGCTTCTTACAAAGATACTCCACTCTGAAATCTCTAAGAGACTTCGTAAAAACATCTGCCAGTTGATCCGTTGTGTTGACATAATTTGTGAAAATATGTCCAACTGTGATCTTTCCTCGAATAAAAAGGCAATCAACTTCAATGTGTTTAGACCTCTCATGATATACAAGATTTGATGCAATGTACATTGCAGCTTGATTGTCAAACAATAATTGAACCGGTTTTTTGCTTCTATATTTTAGTTCTTGGAGGAGATGCTTCAGTCATAAGATTTCAGATCTACTAAGGGCCATCGCACGGTACTTTGCCTCAGCAGTGCATCTAGCAACCACATCTTGTTTCTTACTCTTCCAAGACATTAGATTTTGTTACGGGCGAGGTTGGGAGATAAAAAAGAAGAGCGATAAGTGTTGAAATATAAACTACAAAATATAATATTGAAGAGAGGAGGAAAGATTTTCTGTATATTTCATTGAAGGGTAAGGCCCTATAAATATAGATTACAAAGATAGAATATTCCTATAAAAGATGCTATACAATAATACTATATATGGTATATTCCTAATATATTCTAAAGCATATTCTAAAGTATATTCTAATATACTTTCACACTCCCCCTCAAGTTGGAGCATAGATATTTATCATGCCCAACTTGTTACATAAATAACCAACTCGAATTCCATTTAGTGCTTTAGTGAACAAATCTCCAAGTTGTTCCCCAGTCTTCACATATCCTGTAGAGATCAATCCTTTTTGTATCTTCTCTCGAATAAAATGACAATCGACCTCAATATGCTTTGTTCTCTCATGAAATACAGGATTGTTTGCTATGTGTATAGCAGCTTGGTTATCACACCACAATTTAACAGGCATTGATGTCTTCAGTCCGAGCTCGGTCAATAAATGGCTTATCCATATGATCTCACATGCAGATTGTGCCATAGCTCGATATTCTGATTCAGCACTCGAACGAGAAACCACATTCTGCTTCTTACTCTTCCAAGATACAAGATTACCACCAACAAAGACACAATAACCAGACGTAGATCTTCGATCATCTTTAGAACCGGCCCAATCAGCATCTGAAAAACATTCTATTCTCATGTGATCATGGTTTTGATAAACAATACCTCGTCCTGGTGTACCCTTTAAGTAACATAATATGTGTTCTACTGCAGCCCAATGATAAATGGTTGGAGATGATATGTATTGACTCACTACACTCACAGAATAGGCAATATCTGGACGAGTGACTGCGAGATAATTAAGCTTTTCAACCAGTCTTCTATATCTTTCTGGGTCTTCAAACGGTGTGCCTTCTTGAGTGAGTTGCACGTTGGGAACCATGGGTGTTGTACTTGGTTTTGCCCCTAATTTCCCTGTCTGAGCTAGTAAGTCAAGTACATATTTACGTTGAGATAGAAACATGCCTTTCTTACTTCGTGTTACCTCAATTCCCAGAAAGTATTTCAAAGAGCCAAGATCTTTCGTCTGGAATTGACTATGCAGAAAATTCTTAAGGGTCAAAATACCTGCATTATCACTCCCTGTAATCACAATATCATCAACATACACCACAAGCAATGTGACACCTGATTCTGTTTGTTTGTAAAAGACAGAGTGATCTGATTTGCCTTTTATCATTCCAAACTGTTCAATTGATTGACTGAATTTTCCAAACCATGCACGAGGACTCTGTTTCAGACCATAAAGAGATTTGTGAAGTCGACAAACTTTACCATACTCCCCCTGAGCAACAAATCCCGGAGGTTGCTCAATATAGACTTCTTCCTTAAGGTCACCATGCAAAAATGCATTTTTAATGTCCAACTAATGTAAGTGCCCATCATGAGTTGCAGCGAGTAAAATAAGTAACCTGACAGATGTTAATTTAGCAACAGGAGAAAAAGTGTCAGAATAATCAACACCATAGGTTTGAGCATAACCCTTCACAACTAATCGGGCTTTCAACCGAGCAACAGATTCGTCTGGGTTAACCTTAACAGCAAAGACCCACTTACATCCAATAGATTTCTTCCCTGCAGGCAAGTCAACCAAATCCCAAGTACCATTAAGATCTAAAGCATTCATTTCCTCTACCATGGCATGACGCCATTCAGGATGAGACAAAGCTTCTTTGACAGATTTGGGAACAGAAATAGAATCAATGGAAGCAATAAAAGAACATGAAGCAGGAGATAACTGATTGTACGACACAAATGAAGAAATAGGATGAATACAAGACCGTGTACCTTTACGTAGTGCTATTGGGAGGTCAAGATCTGATGTAGAGACAAGATCTGAAGATGCAGGTACTGGTTCAGGACATGAGATCGGAGTTGAACTAGTATCAGGATAAGTAATCACAGGTATCGCCGGTGGAGGGTGATCAGGTGCTTTGTGTCGACGGGTGTATACCAAATGTACGGGAGGCCTAGGGTCAGGAACAGTAACTTGTGGAATATTTGTCGATAGTGTGGACTCAGGAATAGTCATCGTGTAAATGAGTATATCATCATTACTCTCATGAATATCTGCCTTAGATGATGAAAAAGGTGTATTTTCATGAAATGATGCATCAATAGAAACAAGATACCGACCAGTACTCGGACAAAAACATCTATACCCCTTTTGGACTCGAGAATAACCCAAGAAAATACATTTTAATGATTTGGGATCTAACTTTGTAAGATGAGGATTAACATCTCTAACAAAACAAGTGCAACCAAATATTTTAGGTGGGATAGGAAAAAGCTCTTTGTTTGGAAATAGACAATGATAAGGAGTTTTACCATTCAAAACAGAAGATGGCATTCGATTTATCAAAAAACATGCAGTAGACACGGCATCTGCCCAAAACTGTTTAGGCACATTCATTTGGAATAGAAGAGACCTTGCAGTTTCTAATAGATGTCGATTCTTTCGTTCTGCAACTCCATTTTGAGGTGTGTCAACGCATGAAGTTTGATGAATAATGCCATGTTGAAGCATAAATGACTTAAATGTAGCAGATAGATATTCCTGGGCATTGTCTCCTCTTAACACCCGAACAGGAACGTTGAACTGAGTTTTAATTTCAGCACAAAAGGAAGAAAAATGAGTGAACAACTCAGATCGACGTTTCATGAAATACAACCATGTCATACGAGAATAGTCATCAACAAAGGTAACAAAATATTTAAAACCAGCTTTAGACACAACCGGGCAAGCACCCCAAACATCAGAGTGAACAAGGTCAAATGGAGCATTTGCTCGTTTATTAACTCGCGGGCTTAGGCTAGTCGATGGTGTTTCGCAAATTGACATGACTCACATTGTATGAGAGAGATGGATGTCCTAATCGGTAATGAGCATCTAACAAAGTCCCAACCCCAAAACAAGAGATACCTTTTGTGATGGATGTATCCAAAATATAAAGACCAGCTGACTCATGTCCTTTACCAATAATCTGCTTCGTTAACAGATCCTGAAACACACAATATCCAAGAAAAAATGTTACAGAACAATTAAGAGTACGAGTGATTTTACTGATGGAAAGCAGATTAAATGCAAAATTAGGAAGACTCAAAACAGGTGATAATGGTAATGTAGAGGTTGGAACAACAGTACTAGATCCAAGAACGGGTGAGGTAGATCCATCAGCTAAAGTGACACTAGAAGTAGGTAAATATGAATGAAATGACGAGAATAGACTAGGATTACCGGTCATATGATCTGTGGCACCTGAGTCAATGACCCATTTCGAGGATGATGAAACAAGACATGTGTTTGAAATACCTGAATTAGCAACTACCGAAGTAGGGACAGAGGAATGCTTTAGAGATTCTTGGTAGCAAATAAATTTGGCGTACTCGTCTGAAGAAATGGCAATTGATCCATCAGATGAGCTGGTAGCGGAAGCAACATGAGCTGACTGATTTCCTTGATTTTTGAACAATAAGTTTCTGCATTCTTTAATCAAGTGCCCGGGCTTCTTGCAGTAATTGCATACTACTCCTCTGTCAAATTGATCCGTACAAGACATTTTTTTGTGTAATGAGAATGTAATGAAGTTCAAAAAATGAGAAAACTTACGGCAGCCCGTTTGTGGACTAGACCTTGGAGAATAAAAGATCCAATTTACTTAGGCTTTGACTCAGACAGAAGTCCGATTCCAGACCCCAAAGGAATAAACGAAAGAGCCTGCGTATCCTCAGGGACGTATAAACGAATAAACGATATCTGCATATGTCCACAAATATCCGATGCCAGACCCAGCGTGCGTATGTCTGGATACTTCGATGCCAG